CATTAAAAATTGGTATTTCCGACTGATGTATCGGATTTTATTAAAAATCGGCATAAATGGGCAAATCTATACATAAATATGCGAAAAATTGGCATGTATATGCTAATATCGGCAAAACTATTTTAAAAGGGTCAAAATCCGATTTTTTTTCATTCGACCTGTGATCGCCTTCTTCAATGTTCAAGACTTTCATTTTACTTTCTAAGAATTCGACAACCTTAGAATAGGTGGGTTTTGATATTCTTCCATAAGTTAGATAATCATTGCTTAGCGGTCAATGAATGTTTCTTGATCCATATATAGTATAATATGAGACATTTATAATTTAATTTTCATTTCAACATTTCTTACGACCAACTTATTATACGCCAAAATTCTGTATGTAAATCACAACACCTAATAAGGCCAAAATACATTCATAGGTTCTTAATTTTGATCGTCCTGGCCCTTTGAATATTTTTGGCTAAAAAGAAAATCTGAATCAAGTAGGATTAATGTGATTGACCCAAATTACGGAAATAAAATTTAAAAATAGAATTACAAAACTGCAGAATATACTGTATTACTTTCATAATACATGATGACGTTTTTATAATGACTGCGGACTAATATGCTAACGCTATTACGCAATGTTTGATATTCCACAGAATATTCATCCAAAGCATCTTTCGGAAAAATTTGATGCTTAATAGTAAATTACCACTTTGCGAAACCCTCAATTACATTCCGTTGTGGCATGCTTCAAATAAAGTTCTCAGCTTCCTAGAATAATATAAGGTATAAAAATAACGTGAATAGGGCACCCTCATTCGAATATTGTTTTATATGACACAAAAAAATAATGCATATATGTAAATCTTATATTACACAGCTCCTATTCCTTTGGGCAAGAAATTTTCCGATATTGTACTACTGCGCATTTCAGGTGATTAATCTCACATGACTGGCTTATGCTACAATTGCGAACTTAAGTTTATTGCTTGAAGTGTTGCAGGTAAGACAATACTCCAACTTATCTTAGAAATACAACTTTGTTAATTCAGGATCATAAGGGAACTGATTCCCATTTTCGCAGTACCATGTATCATGTAATCCATAATTCCCATGTTTTCCATCGCAAATAGGACATGATGAGCTCCACGGCTGAAATGATGTAAAATCATAATTATCAATCCCTCTGAAACTATTTCAGAATTTCAAATATATGAAATGCTCTAAGATGGATTTGATAATTAATTCTGAATCAGGTCTGGCTTTGAAGGTGATAGGTCCTTTTTCTTCACATTGCTCAGAAGAAGATAAATAGGATACTTTGTTTTCTGGCTTCGAATTATGAGAAGGCAGGCTTTTGATAATTGCCATGGCTTATATCCAGTTTCTTTTTTATATTTTTTGTATAAGCTGGACCAAATCCTATCTGTCAAAACACTTGGTAAACCAGTTAATTTGGCATGCCAATCCAGATATTTAGAGGTTAATACTTTATCAGACTTGGACATATTAACTTTTTTCTATAATTGCAAATCAATTTAAATTACATCAGAAAATTTGTTTAGGTGTAATTTAGTGTAATATTTCGGAGGTAGTGTAAAATTTCGAAATATTACACTAAAAACGTAATATTACAAAAGTTTACTCTCTTAAATTTGAACAATAATAGTAATTTAAGAATATCTCGCTATCTACTGAATGATCTATAGCTCATTGGAATCAGCTTATCAAGATGAATCGAATGGTAGTAAAATCATATCTTTATGTTCAATAGATGACTTTCTATTAATTTAAAACTTTATTGCATACTATAGAGC